TTTGGAAGGTGATGGTCGAATAGTTCCGTTTTCAATTACATGTCCCAAAAATTCAATTTTACGTTTTAAGAATTGGCACTTTTTGAAATTTATTTGTAATCCATACTCCGAAGCAGTTTTGAATACTCTTTCTAATTTGTCTAAACATTCAACTTCATCATTAGCCGGTATGACTATATCATCCATATAAATAATTAGTACACCTTCATTTAACAAGTCACGAAATACTGAATAAATACCTTTGAAAAACATTTGGACTAATACATAAACCAAAAGGAGCTTTAAGAAATTCGTAGATACCATTATGTGTTACAAATGCGGTATATTTGGTGCAATTTTCGTCTATGTCTACATGGAAAAAGCCATTTTTCAAATCTAGTGTCGTGAAGACTTTTGACTGTTCTAAGCGATCAAGTACTTCCGGAATTAAAGGCAGTGGAAAATTTGTCTTTAATAATCTTCTTATTTAATTTCCGATAATCATATGCATAAACGTTTCGAAATTATCACGCTTGTTACACAAAACAATAGGCGCCGAATAATTAGAATTGCTAGGCTTTATTATGCCCTCTTTCAACCATTCCTTAATTTGATCGTCAACAATTTTTTGTTCCGCGAAAGACATGTATCTTCTATTTTGACAGACAGGAATATCATCGCATAAATTTATTTGCATCTTGAAAGTCAGATTGTCTATTTTTCCGAGGCTTGGTACGAATTAATTAAATTACACAGTCTTTCTTTATGTTCTGCATTCGAAATATGCGATAAATCAATCTCGTTGACAGAAATAGCATTCACCAGATGTGAAAGGTAATTAAACGTCGAGCTACTTCCGCTTTCGGGACTTTTGTTTACATTAACAGAGACGCCAGACGATCGCGAAGGATCATAAACATTCTTCAATGAGACAGCAATATTCAAATTTCCCATAACGCAACGAACGTTAGAATTTCGATATGACTCAGCAGTTATCAAGTTTACATTACTTTTATTCCGATGAGAAATTATTTGAAGGCCATTCTCGGTAAAAGAGAAGTTAAACTGATTCAATACATCCAAACCTAATACAATTTGATTACATAATGACTTAACAACATAAATTTTCGTACGCAGTGAAAAACTATCAATTGAAATATCAGAAATGAAAAAGCCGATGGGGTACGTTTGCTTTGATTCAATTCCGTTTAATGTGATATCGCTACAATTTAAATTAGGAGAACCAATCTGCTTGTGTAACTCTACGCTGCATATCGTTACATCTGAACCAGTGTCAACTAAACTATCAACTAAATGATTATTTATTTCTACAGTCTTTCATAATTCTATCCTTGTCACAAATTCGTTGTAATAAAGCTGCTTGTTTCTCGGGGGTCTGGTCTGGACAGTTCGTTGAATAATGCCCAAACTTTTTACATTTTATACCCTTCGATTTGTTTACACAATGCTTTGATAGATGCCCAAATTCCTGGCAATTAAAACATTTGACCTTATTAACGTTAGATTGATTTCGGTTTGATGACGAAAGCTTACTTCTATCTTTAACTTGAGTGTCTACTTTCGGTTTTGGATTTTTAAACTTATCATTGTCCGATCTCATTTTATCATAAATTTTTAGCCTTTGTTTAAATTCAGATATTGTTTCGCAACCATATAGTATAGTTTTCCTCACCACAGAATCGGGAATACCATCAATAACATATTTAATTAATGAAGCATCTTCAATGTTACCTCGCGAACACATTTCTTTCATTTTCAAAAAATACTCATCTAAAGATTCATTAGGCATTAATTTACGTTTTACATAACATTTCATGCAATTCAGCAGAATTAAAAGCTTTACCATATTCAGATTTCAAAAGCTTTTTTAACTTACACCAGTCATTAACTTTAGGTTCACTCTGAATAAATAGTTTCGCTTTACCTTTTAATGATCTTTTAGCAAAAACTAATTTATGCAAATCACTCTAATTTCAAAGAATTTATAACATTCTTCAAATTCATCAATCCATTTATCAACATTTTCATATGCATTACCAGAAAAAGGATTAACAATACTTTCAATATCAGAAAAACTAAGATGAGGTTTAAAATGATCTTGAATTGGAAGCTGCATACTGTTATTTACTTGAGACTCATTAAAACCAGGATTGTCTCTTTGATTATCATCAAGCATTACTTCAGAAATTTTATTAATAGTTTCATCTTCAATATCACTATTTTCTTCATGCAAAATATTTTCAAATAATACAGATAAATCACATAGGAAAGAGACAATTCGGGTTACGACTTCCGTTTTTGAACCTTCTGAATTTATGCACAATACATTGCAAACTTTAATTAACTCATTCAAAGTAAAACTATTCTGCACTGTATCTATTTTCTTATTAAATTCTTCAGAATCTGGTTTAAATATAAAGCCAGAAAATTCACGTAATCTTTTCCGGTTATTTCGATCTCCATCAGTATTAAAAATAAGCTTATGCAAACTTTTGATTTCAGAACTTTTACTGTTCTTTAAAGCTGCTTCCAATTCTGGAATTTCTACTAACTTCATATTGGAAAGAAAATTTTGTACTCACCCGACAGATGATCGTCGTCAATAAGGGTAATCCACACACTTTATACGAGTAATCCAATAAATCGAATAACTTGTGAAAACAGTTCACTCAGTTAGTTCAAAGCACAGTTCTACTACTCGCACACTTTCGAGTTCGAGGCCGCACGCTTGGTCGCCAAAGTTCTGTGGAATTCTCCTTTAAATCAGATCATGAGAGCAGCATCGTACAATTTTAAATATGGTTTATTTTAATAGAAAGAAATAAAAGTAAATAAGATAAATTAAGTAAAGTTTAAATGTTGAATGGTTCATGTAATGATGCGCAATCGCAGACAGTCCTTTTACACAGAGTTCCTCCGGCGTTGATAGGATATATTAATTCCAGCTAGTTTCAAATAGTATGATCATCTAAAGTCATCACAGCTAAAGGTGGCACATCAAAAGCAGAATCTAAATTCCATAAACTCTTGAAGCATAAGAGTGAGCCGTCTGCTCATGTCCACTTTCCGCTCTCGACCAGGTCTGGAATCTATCTCCCGCTGTCTCGGACGATTCTTACTGCGCTGGGCTATACTGTGAGGTACAATCGCAGACAGTCCTTTTACACAGAGTTCGATGTTTAGCTTTAAATAATATAATCAGGCATGACAGCTAAATTCCATAAACTCTTGAAGGCATACGAGTGAGCCGTCTGCTCACGTCCACTTTCCGCTCTCGACCAGGTCTGGAATCTATCTCCCACTGTCTCGGACGATTCTTACTGCGCTGGGCTATACTGATGACGTCATAATCCTGGTATTCTAATTCAGCATTGGGCGGTGCTGTTTCTCACATACGTAATTAAAATTAAAGTAAAAAATTAAGCACTATATCTAAAATTTAAATAAAATTTAAGCTCTGTATCTTTAAATTTCATAAAAAAATGTTTCGTTTTTTTAAAGTATATCAAAAACTGAATGTTATTATTAAAATAACTCTTTTATTGTATCAAAAATACAGTTTTTTGGTGCAGTATGTTAACAGTGTTATAAATAAAATACTGTGACTTGAGTCTACTATATTATCATACTGTGACTATATTATCTTATAAAGCATGTATATTTGAATATATTTGTATTTCTTTTATCTTTTACTAGGTACTTTGGACTGAATTCAGAATACGGAGCTGCAAACCTAGAATTGTAGATTCTGTAATTGAAATGGAAGATACAAGTAAGAATTTTAGTGCACAATATTTTTACTTTAATTACTATAATTTTGGGTTGATAAGCTGGGGTTTATACCTGTTTAAAAGTGGAAATTAGGTCTGTGGCATATCTGAAAGGATATTGTATCTGAGGGAATTTTATTTTCCCTCTGTCTTTACAATTTTGCTAATCATAAAATCATAAATTTTATGTTTAAATCATAAGTTATGCACAAGCAAAATGGTTAATGTAGAATTCGCTTCATCATTTTAGCCTGAAGTAGCTTGAATACAGCCTAGATACAGCTTAAAACGATCACTGAGGTTGCACTAAAAGGCAGTGCACCAAGTTTGGACTTGTATGAAACTTGCCTAACTACAGCAGACCATAAAGACATTGTAATTTACATTCTTACTTCTGAATTATATAGTTCTGTCTTCCCTCTCTGACAACTATCTTTTTTCTTTTTTTTGTTTTTTAGCAGCCACAGGAACTTTCATTTTGTGAAGTTCTGTGTTCATTTTTATTTGTGTGTGTTACTTCTTTGTGACTTGATTATTGCTTACTTTATTATTCATGTTTGCCAAATTTTTAAAATTATTATTTTTGCTATGGCTTCTGCTGAGTGAAAAGGTAATAGATACATCTAATGTGGTATGAGTTATGTCGATATTGAGCACCTGTTGTTTAGATGCTCTTCTATGAAAAATATTGTTCTAAAATTTATTCCTATATGCTAATTTAATACCTAAAGGATCTAAAAATACTGTGACTAAATTGAAATTGTCAATTTCATAAAATATTTATCTGTAAATGAAATGATTTATGTATGATTGTTTTTAAAATGTCTGTTAAAGGAAAACTAGATGTTTATGATATTCTGTTATTTTATTTTTTGCATATTAAGTATATTTTTATGCTGCAAGTAACGTGTTATATTGCAGAGTATTAATAATGTGCTTTGTTGGTGCAGCTGGTAAATCTCATCATCTCCTAGACTTAAGTTCATATTTTAGTTATTTTTTCTATTTAATTTATTTCAGGTAGGTGGTTTGTTCTACTGCTAATGGGACTGATTTAGGCCTTGTTTAGATAATTTTTCTTTAATTAAATATCCATGGTTTCTTTAGCTTAATGATAGCTCCATGCTAGCCTCAAGTTATTTATTCTATTTTAAGTTATTTCAGGTAGTAAGGTGGTTGTTCTACTGCTTAATGGGACTGATTTAGGCCTTGTTTAGATCTCAATGTTTCTTTAATTAAATAGCTCCACTAAGCCCTGTTAAGCCTCTAATGGGGGTACAGGAAGTTCAACCAGTCATAGATACAGCTAATTTTAAGCTTTTGGCATTGAAGAATTAGAGATGGCTTTTGGCTGGAGAATTTCAAGTTGAAAAGAGATGCCTTCAGTGGTGGAAGTCCAAGAAGAATTAGAGAATTAGAATTAGAGAAAATGCAAGAAGAATTAGAGAAAATGCTGAAGAAGAAAAAAATCTTATCGGATTGCCATCAAGGCCTCGCCTGTTTTGGTGATAATTTAGAGGATGATGGAGTAGAGAGAAAAGGAATTATCAGTGTCAACAGTTAGAATTATCCTTTGAGCAAAAGTTATTGCTCAACAAATGAGAATTAAAAACTTTCTTAAAGGACTCAATTGGTGTTTCATATTCATGAAACAAAAGAAATTAATCATGAAGACCAAAAAAATAGCTGGTCAGAAACTTTTCTGGACTGACGTGAAGAAAAAAAGGTAGCTTTTTTGGAATACTCATCTAAAAAAATTAAAGAACTAAATTTGAATATAGGGCAAATAATTAATATGGTAAAGTGCTCATTACTTTTGATTGTTCTCCAATTAGAATTGTTCATTCAATAGATTAAAAACACTTTCTGTGTTAACAATCAAAATGAAAGATTTTTTTTGCTTGTGTTTTGGGTTATGCCACCAATGAAGAAAAGTTAATGCCCTTTGATAATTTAAAAAAGAAAAACAGTTCAAAAAGAAAAGTCCCTAAAGAGCTCATTATTTGTGCCAGTGAAAAAGGAATGATGTGAAAAGAAGTTAATGTTGTTTTGGCTGAGAGAAATCTATCAAAAAAGGAAAAGCTTTATTGCGCGCGTTCGAGTTTGTAATGCATTGAATGCACAAGTCCGATAAAAAATTAATAAAATTTATTCTTAACACAAGAAATATTACAAAAAACTGGATTTTTCTTCAAAGATATTTGTACAATGTCACAATATCATGCAATATAATCAGTTGCTATATTTTGAGGCACTAAAACATTAAATAGAACACAGTCCAAAGTGCAGAGAAAGCTACTTTGATCTCACTGCCAATTTGCTACAATTGACAACAACTAAGTAACAAACTGAGCAGTAATGTTCGCTCTCTGGCTTTTTATAGCTTTTTAAATCTGCAGCACGAGACAGTTCTAGCAATTTCTGGAAAGCAAAAAGAGTAGAATTACGGTTACATCTAACATGGTAGTCAATTATGTTTATTCAAATTAAGTATAAATTACAGGGCTAAACTTTTATTCAATGTTAAATGCACGTACTCTTGTATTTTTAATTTTCCAAGTAGCTTTCTTCAAAATATGTCTTGTGTTGCATTGCACAGGGATATTAAACAGTTTTAATTATAATTCTACTAAAAATAGCTAATTAAATACAAAATCCGTAACAGGTAGTTTTTCACAGGGAATTATCATTCATGATCAATGGTGCTAATTCTATTTAGTGGATATGGTAAAATCCGAAGCAGTAAAACTTAGCACCAATGTCTCTGATTCAAAGTGGGCTTAAATTTTTTTTACAGTCACTGGATCTCACCATGAACAGAATTTCAAAGATGAACTATGAAATCAGTAGGAAGAATATACATGAAGAGGACAGCATTCCTTCACAAATTCCTAATGGATGAGAAAATCTTTGTATGAGGATGTTGTGTTGTGGGCCTATAAAGCATGGCAATTAGTCTGAGCTGATATGATCAGGCCAACTTTCGTTAAATCAGAAATCATTGAAATAGAAGATGAAAACGAAGATAATGAAATTGAAAGAAGTGATTTAGAACAGAATGATGAAAGTGACCTTGATGGTTATTAAGTTTAAAAAAAGTGTTTACTGAACCTGTAACAATAACTTCTATTAGAAATCAGCAGAATTCGTCTTTGGCAAATTTAAAGTAAGATGTTTATTTATTTATATATATATATTTCTTTTTATAGTTATTTTGTAGATGTTATAAAATGCTATCAATGATGATAAGATCAGTATGGAATGGAATTACTGAATAAATGAATATTAAGTACCTTGTTTCAAAATTCGTTGCTGCGGCATATACAGTGTTGTAACTTATCCAATGAACTTCCATCACTTTTTAGTCATTTATTATATGTGCGGCATATATTCTAGGGCAGCTTATATACCTGAAATTACAGTAATTTTCTGTCGTTAAATTTGTCTTCTTTTCTATGTTTATAGGAAAGTAAATTAGATTTATATGTGTCAGTTCATGTGCGGGTAACTAGTGCTGGTTTTGCAGCATAATAAAAATTGCCAGTATTTCCGTATTTAAGTAGTCACTGTACTTAGTCACCAAAATTTTCAAATTCATTCGTTCAGTCTGCAATATGCAAATTTCAGATGTCACCAAAGCCTTTTACTGTGTTGCCAGTTTAGCAAGGGATTACCAAAATATCTTTCTACCTGTATCAGTTCAGCTATAGATGTTGTGAATATTTTTTAAAATAATGTTGTTTAAATTGTGCTACCTCAGAATTTCTTCTTTTACATCTTATCGTGAAAGAGATATTTATACAGAGAATAAAAATATGTACAAACCTGGTTCAGATAATGTGAAGGGAGTTTCAGTAAGGTGTTTATGATTATTGCAGATTTTACTTGTAGTGGAGATTTAAAAATGAGAGGAGTGAAAAAAATCATACTCTCAGAAAGCCACTTATCTCAGGTGTGCTGAGGTACCTCATAAACCAATTAAAATTGACTCACAGACCTCAACTAAAATAAACTCTTCATACTCCCAGAGAAATATTTCACATCTGATATTTAAAGAAGAAATTCTATTTTTCTATCCCAGTCACTTTCATACAGTAAAACTACCAATCATACTTCAAAAGCTACAACTGCATTCTTTTTTTTTTGGAGGGAGGGATGAAGATTCTTTCAGGTATTGTATGTATGCCTTTTGAATATATCCCTGTGAAGTACCCTAACATTTCATCTGTGGAATATTCTGTGCCAAAAGGATGTCTTTCCAAGTGGAAACCTACAACATTTGATGGCTTATAGAAGGTAGTTAAAAAAGATTGAAAAGAATACCCCTGAAACTTTTACAAAAAAGCCTTCTGTCATGGCAAGCAGAATGCAGACTTACAGTTAAAAGAAGCCATCAGATCAGACATTTAAAAATATGTATTTACATTTTAAATATTATTAAAGTAGACTTGAAATATTTTTAAAAATGTGTTAACAACTTCTGTGTTTGTAGATGTATAATCTTGTCTTCTGTTAATTGATATGTGAATTGCTTTCTTTAGTTTTGTCTTTTATTAAATTTTTTGCATTATATACAGGGTAATATATTTTTTTTTTTTTTTTTTTTTTTGCAAGAGAATTATTATTTAGTGAGTTCAACTCATTGAAAAAATTAATAGAATGTCTTAGGCAAAAATAAAGTATTAATTATTATAATAAAATAGTGCAAGAATGACAATCATAAATCAAATTTGCAGAATAAAATTCAGAGTTAACAAGTTTTGATATTTTCTGCATGAAATGTGGTACTGTGGTAAACTCAAGAATGAAATATGGAACTGTGGTGAACTCAAAAATTTACCACAGTTTTGCTGCAATAACTTTATCTTAAAGTGTGATAGCATAATCATCTTGGCTTTGCTAAACACATTTTCATAGTACATCTTCCAAGAAGAAGTTTAGATGATTTTCTTTCTTGCTTAAGAATATATATTTCCTTTGATTTTCTTAAAGTACTTGCTCA